GTGTCTTTTAAAAATAGGGAACATTTCCAGTCGCTGCCTACGTTAGTTTCGAAGAGGCGAATTTTTAAAGGAGAAAGCGCAGTTGACTAAAACCATCCACTTTGGCACCGATATTTACTGAGCTGGCAAAAGTTAGGATTACGCGCGATATTTCATAAAACTCTCTGAATGTGTGGGATAAAGTGTCTTCTAACTATGATAAACATTTCAAGTTGCTACCTGCTTTAGCTTGCACGAGACGATTTTTTACAAGAGAGTGCATTTTACCAAGACATTCGTTTGAGACCGGTATTTACTTACTGAGCTGGAAAAACTCACGATTATGGGAGATTTTTGTAAAACTTTCTGCACCTGTAAAGAAATGTGTCCTTAAAATTTTTGAAGTAATACCTGCGTTGGTTTGGCAAAGGTGAATATTTAAATGAGAGAGCGCTCGCGAGTAAAACCATCCATTTTGAGTCCGATATTTACTGACCTGGTAAAACTAAGGATTCAGCGCGATTTTCATGAAACTTTGTGAGTGTGTAGACTGAACTGTGCTCTAACTATGACAAAAATTTCAAGCTACTATCGGCGCGTCGAAGAAGCGAATTTTTAAAGGTGAAAGCGCAGTTGACTAATCTATTACATTTTGAGACCGGTATTTATTGAGCTGGTAAATCTCGGGTTTACGCACGATTTTTCAGAAACTGTCTGAGAGTGTAGGGTAAAGTGTCTTCTAAATATGGCGAATATTTCAACTGGCTAACTGAGCTACTTTTGAAGGGGCAAATTTTTAAATGAGAGAGCGCACTTGATTAAAACCACCCACTTTCAGACCATACATTTTCTGCATTGTGAATTTTGTAATAAAACTACTAGCTTCCAAAAGGAGTAGATTTGCTTCGTTCTCCTGTTTGCATGCGGTTCATCAAATTTCAGTGTACGCGGCATTAGAAGACACATCAGCTTTTAGCACACACACATTTAGAGCTTTTATTGTCTTGTAAACTTTTTCAGTTAAACGTTGTGTTTTCTAAAGAATTCCTACGGTATATACTTCCTGAACAAAACAGCGTGTTTGTAATCGAATTATAACAAAGAAGCTGCGGAATATTTATGATTGCCAAAATTCCCAGAAAAAAAGATTGTTTAGATTTAAGACTCAAATGAGTCTAGATCGGTTTGTGAAAAAACTTGCCGCGCTATCTGTTCCATCCAATGCGGAAAAGCATGACCATTTCTTCACCCATATTTCAGTTTGGCATTCCGTGGGTTAATGGTCTTGTTTAGCGATAAGCTAAAGGTGGGCGACTGTTATTAAGATGCAAGAAATATTCTTGTTCAGCGTAAAATGGCGTAGGTCATATAAACCATGAGCTGGCACTTTACATGATCAACACGACGATCTGGAGGCCTGGTTGGGGTGGCAAAGCACCGGAAATGTTCCCAGAAAGAAAATGTAACATGCAGCACTGCGAAGCGTGAAAAGAAACTCGAATGAATTTTATGCCGACAATTTGTGTAATAGGCCGCGGTAATCTTTTCCGTTCTAATAATTGCGCCTTCAATTAAAGGTACATGAACTTGGCATAGAACGCAACAGCAGTACCATTTTTCAAAAACATCCACTTACCGATTTTCGCACTCCAAATACCCTCTGGGTTCATCCTCAGCTGGATTCGCATCTTCGCAACTTTGCCGCTCTTCGCCACCCTCCTTAGCTGCTGCCTCCCCCACGCGCTCGTCAATCATCAGTTTCTCAAAGAGCGACCATGGAAATCCCGGAACTTGGGCCAAGTACTGCCAAAATTCACCGGCTTGCGCATTCGACAGCGATTTGTAGATCGGCACCAGATTACTGGGGTTTGCGCCCCACGGTACCGGAAAGGGAATCGGAATGGGTACTGGCACCGGTATGTACTGGGCGGCAGGTGAAAAAGCGCATCCGCCGCACGTTTTGCAAGTTAATGGGTGCGAAGTCTGGTCGACCGGCTGGCCTGTGGTACTCTGATGAACGCATTGCATTGCATCGGCCGCCCCGGCTTGGGGAGGGGCGCGGGGCCTATTGGAGGGCGACGGGACGCCTATGTCTTCGTCTGAAGACTCCCTAACGCGGCGCGCCAGCAAAGGAGACCCTGCAAAAGTAAAAAAAGTCATCAGCTGAAGTAATTAGCGGAAAACGTTGAAGCTCTCCACTTGCCCTTTGTGTTAATTAAAAATAATCAGGTAAATTAACGAAGAACGATACGACACTGTTTCGGTTAGGTTTCTCCAGTCGGTCTTATTATTACACAACCAGTAAATTATGGGTTTTCTTTTTACGCTCGTTGGGCAGCAAGACAGCCAACGTTCGTTCCACACTATACGATTTTTCGACTATCGTGCAATTTTTTTATCACTTTTCTTTGCTGTTTGCTATCAAACTATTTGCACGCATTTCCACACACAATCGATAGATTGGATCAAATGGCAGGATTGGTGGGAATAAACGGTAACAAGATTACTAACTGTTTGGCTTTGCATGGTTTCCATAAAGACGATGTTGATGAGTAACGCCTGTGTGAGAATAGACCTTAACCCAGATCGGGGCCAAAGTACATCCGCAATCGCGCCTAATTTGCATTGATTGCGAATTAATAAGAATTGACTTGATGAATGGCATTGAAGATGAACATATTGAAGCAACAGGACTGGTTTTGCGCTATTGAATCTAGATAATTGACTAGAGGCTGTTTTTGTGAAGTAACTGCTTAACAGAAAACTGGTTGCATGGAAAATATTCAAACATCTTTTAGATTAATCAAGAAAAGCTGGGCAAATAATTGGCTTATATTAGTCAGTGCAGTAGCAAATTTTCATGAAGCGCATCCGCCATTGTCAATAACTCGATTTGAGTCAAAAACAATCGTAAGAAAACTGTGAAGAAATAAGCCCTTCACAAAGCGGAGGTAAAATTTGCAATTATACTCACTTTCTTGTTCACTCATAAATTCTAGAAATTGGCTTATAAGAGTTAACTTTCAAGCATTTTAATGCGCGTCTCGAGCATCCACCATTCTCAATAAAAGCGCAATGTGTTAAAGAAAATTTTAAGAGCACTAAAATTTTAAAAATAATTAAACATCTTTCAGATAAACCAAAGAAAAAATTGTGAACAAGAAAATCGGGGAAAAGAACTGGCAAATTTCATTAATAAAAGATCGCTTCCAAATATGTAAATGCGCATCCGCCATTGTCGAGAAAAAGCGCTTTTTGCCAATAGAAAGCTTAAGAAAATTGTAGGTAAGCGCGCCAAAAACAGGTCTCATCTGAATTGTAAAAATATTAAATGCATATCGGGTAAAGCAAAGAAAAAATTTTGAACAAGAAAATCTGGAAAAAAAACTGCCAAATTGTATAATTAAAAGTTAACTTCCAAACATTTAAATGCCCAGCCAAATTGCTCAGAATGCGCATCCACTTCAACTTTAATCAATAAAAAGCGTCAGCAAAATGTGAATAAATGCACCCCAATCAAGTCTGAACTAAATTATAAAAAATTGAAACATTCCTTAGATGAGCCAAGGAAAATATCGCAAAAAGAGATCTGAGAAGTAATTTTCAATCAAAAGTCAATATTTCCAAAACTGTGACCAAAGACCCCCAAACGATGCGGACTTCAGATAAACCAAAAGAAGTATTTAGGAAAAAAAATGTAACAAAAACTATGAAAGGGTAAGTGCAGAGCGTTTAAATCCACGCAAGTAAAATTTTTAGCAGCGCATCCGCCATTGTCCAGAAAACCAATGTCGGCCATTAAAACTCTTAAAAACTGCGAATAAAGACACCCCAAGCAAATCTGACCTTTCCAAAATACGTAAAATTCCAACCAATTAAAGCCATGAGAATTTCAGTAATTTCAGCTTTTAGAGATGCACCTAGGCAGCTGCGTCTGATTTTGAAAACTCAATTATAATTACCTATACTGAGCCAAGGTAATAAAGAGAGAAACTTGCGCGAAACAATGCACTGGAAGGCGCTCTTAATAGAACAATGGGCCGCTTCTTAGTAGGAAAATAATTAAGGGCGACATGAAAACTGACCCAGTTTCTCCGCGAAGATAAATTCATTCACTAGGGCCTCAAAATCGTTACTTACCCAGTGGGGAATCGATGAGCGCTTTCCGGTAGACTCTGGGAGACCCGAAGGGGGACCCCCATCCTAAAACCGGCTGGGGCCTGCTAGCTCCCGGTTCGAAATAATCCCAATCGCATTCATCCAATGGGAAGCTCGATGCCGAAGAGCTATCGTTATCGTCAACCTCTTCCTCCTTTGAGGAGCTATCGGAGTTGACGAACACTAACCGATAGTCTTCGCCATCGGGCAGCAAAATATCTATGAGCTCGCTTTCGGGAGTTCGTCGCCAACCTGGAATCAGTAAGGCAAAGTTGGATCGCTACTTAAAGCTGCTTTTGAACCCTGTTAGTTGAGCCGAAAGTTACTAGGAGACTTACGTACCTTTTAGCATTGTCCATTTTAGCCGTTGCACCATAACTACTGCGAAAGTTAGTTAAGCACTACCGCCATCACCACTTGTTATTATTACAGTTACAGATTGGTTTATATGGAATTGGGAATTGTTCTGTATCGCCTATAATGATTTTGGTTGGTTCTACACGGTTGCCGCCATATGGTGTGGAAAGTGCTCTTTACCTACTAAGCGGAGGATCGAAGCAAATTTATTAGGGCCAGAGGCTGAGGGATTTTAGGCGCACAAAAGTGTGCGACTTTCTACAAACGCATGGTGCAAAAGTGAGCTGATGAGGTCCAAATAGAAGTATTTTGGTTCGTCGACAACATTGCCGCCATCGCAAGCAACCCACAACCGTATGGGCGAAAGACGTATATGGACAAATCACGTTAATCCGCAATAAGATCATTTTGCCAAAACCTGCTAATGTTTGCTGTGAAGGATTTATTTAAATCACTCGGTTAGATGCGCTCTTTGGAAAACTCCCCCAACTTAATACTAGATGACAATAAGAGGGTGGCCGTGTTACATATGTAGATAAACAGGTGGAAACAAATCTATCAATTCCGATGCAGCGAGTTCTGCGAGAACGAGGGGACCTTTTACTAATTCAATGCCTCAGGTGTTATTCAGCGCCGAGCCCGATTGTTTCAACTTAACAAAAGCCTTTCACGTCAAAAGCCGATAACAACATGGTACTATTTAGCATTTCAGATTGTTTCAGCCATCGACGCCCCAAGACATCAATAGCTTAATATCCTGGTGACGGTCAGGGACGTATTTAAATTCTCCCAAAATTAGATCCCTAGTGGAGGCAAAGCGAACATAGAGTGGAAAACATAAAACACCAGAAGTGAGGAATTAAAACGAAAAGTTGCTCACCACCATATTACGAAACAAAGCCCATTTATCAGAAGCTACGAGGAAATTACTTGCCTGTATCCATTGCAGCCATTTTCCTCATGTTCTGTTGTCTGCGTCTTCTCACCGTCATTTTCCGGAAAACTGTGCCACTAAGCGGCTCAATATCGCACGTTTCCACACAAGAATTGTCCGGGTTGGCCTGAAAGGAAACATTTCGCATTGAGTGGACGATTTAAGTGATTTGAAATGTGCGCTTTGCCGGTTTGCAATTGAGCAGTTTGAGGAGTTACCTCTTGATTGGCCTCCCGTGGACGGCCATCTTCAGGCAAAGAGCCCGTGCTGAACGGCATCTTTTTGATGTCCTTGCTGGATTTGCTGTTGGACAAAGAGCGGCTTCGGAAATAGGCCAAATCCGCCGCTTTGGTGCTGTCGAAGCTCACGTGCCGGTCGGACGATTTTTCTTTCTCTTCCGGCGATTTGCTGGTCGATTCTACAAAGGCTTAGAGTTGTTACTTCCACTACGACAACGTTTGAGTTGTCCACCTTTTTCGGCTTTGGCTTCATTTTCCTCCGTTTCCAGAACCGACTCGGTTTTTCTTCGCGGGGATTTGCGGCGCTCCCGAGTCTCTTTGCTTTCCCTCAACGAAATTGACATTAATGGGTTCACTCGAGCGGGTCGTTTGGGGCTTTGGCTTTCATTAGTAGGATCAGCTGAAAGGAAATTGGTTTTAATTCGTGATAAGCAAAACAAGTCTTGCTCTTTTGGCTAGCAAGACCAAGACCATCCAAGCCTCGGTCTTGCTTTGCTCATCACTAGCTTCAATATTCCGACCGAGTTTAGATTCGAAGCTGTAGCTTAAAGCACTTACAACTCGCACAATCCACAGCAGCTGGCACGTTTCGCTCCGTGTAGACGTCCTCAGACTTGGCCCTTCTTGCAGGCGATCTTCTGATCTCAATGTTGTAATCGGTGTTTCTGAGGTTGGCCTGATGTGGAGCCAACGAAGGGTAATTGTTGATATCCTGGCCTCTAGGCAGACTGTTGTAGGGCCTCAATTCGACTGAGTTTCTTAGGGCGGCCCATCGGGGTGTCGGATCTGGAACAAAATTCGGTCGGATCGATTGGTGAGGAGCGAAAAGCCATGGCCCATTAATTGATGCAAATATTGCCGCTAATTGGTCGGGCTTAAATTGCCAAACAAGTGCGTATTGAGCGCAGATATTTCGCATCGTTATTGTAGCTGTTGGGAGCGAATTACTTTATCCAATTAAAAATACTGCTGGTATACGTGTTTTTATACCTAAGTACTTACTGGATATTGTCCAGGATCTCCGAATGGTTTTCTTGATTATATCGGCAGCTGGCACATAAACTCGAGCATCTCGTCTTCTGCTGGGTCGGCGAACAAACTCGTTCATCCACTCGCCCGAAGCCGCCTGAATTTCCCTGAAAATATTCAGCTATTTAAAAGAGTTTTGGCGAATTTGAGGGTCGGTCACCGAAAGGATATCAAGGTATCGACACCGCAAACAGGGTTGTAAAACAAACAACCCTTTGCGGTAAACTCTATCAAAAACGCGCAGCCGATGTGGAGAATCTCGGCCCTTTATGGGGGGCGAAAATTCCTGAAACGCCGTGTTTTCCACAAAACAATTTATGGAATAGTTTCGGGTTTTTCCAGCTCCGATCTTTGAACTCTCCAAGGATGTACTTTGCCACTTATGTAGATAAAAAAAGGTTCTGAAAAAGTACTGATAAAAAAAAGACAATCCCGATTAGACGATCAAAGGTTTATCACTCGTGTTAAGTATATTGAATGTATTTTTCCTTGGGCCTCGAAACACATTTTTTAATCGACACTCATTCAGTGGAGGATCTGCTTTTGAATATTTTCCTATCAGTGTTACGGATCTTAGGAGAATTCGCCAAGGCAGGAAGTGGCGTGATAAAGTCAAACACTTGGAGACTGATAGAAGATTCTATTGCGATTTGAAGATCAGAATAATACATTTTTTTTATCGCGTCAAGACACTGCTTGCAGCTCTGCACGTACCACATGCAGCTTTTCCGGTGTTTATAAAAATGCCAAAGTTCAAAATCTCCAGTTTTCGTCAGATAAGCTCTTCTCTTACATATGTCGATGGATCTGTATCAGTAAATGACCCAAAATTATAATCGGAGAAGAGTTGAAGCTAACTTTATAACTTCCGCTGGAACTTTCATTAAACCAAATCATCAGTCATTTGAACAGTTTCTACTCGAAGATCTTCCCGCCCAGTTTTCCGAGATTCGGACTGGTAAAGTTTTATTAAAAACTGACCCGCTCATAACCATTATGTGCGCCAAAGGATGAACATAAAATCCTTAATCGCATGTACCTCGACCGGTTTCAGAGCAATAAATACATCTTCCGTTTTTTTTAAGTATTTCTAGTACAAACAGAAATTATGACAATAGTGGATCAATCCAACACAAAAGTTGCTTTTACCATTGCGAGTTTGCTGAGCTTTGAATGTCTGATTGTAGAAACAGATCTTTGTTATTGTTAAGTTCAATTTTAATATTTCTTCTGTTAAAATATTTGTTTTAACATCAATTTAACCATCGGTAGAAAGCGCCAAATATCTAGAAGATGAGCAAAAAGATATAGAAATCCCTCAAATGTTCTTTGCGTCTGAAGAATAGCAGGACGAAACAACATGAAATAGAACCAACATTTTAAATATTCTGGACTGGAGAAATTTCCGCAAAATTGTATGGACTTCCGCGAATTCCAAACTCTCCCTTAATTAATTAATTAAATTTTAAGAAAGAGTAATTATTTTTTCATACAGAATTATCCTCTGAGATTTATCTCACTTATTTAGTAACACCCTGTATATGTTCTTTTGCCGTATTTTTTAGTGTTTTTGCCTCTAATTTGATGTCGGTTTAACATCGGTACAATAAACGCATTAGAACGTGTTTAATGTGGAAGTTGTGCTGAATCTTTTGTGCACGACGCTGGGTTGAAGACAAAAACACTCTCAACTTGCCGATTGATCAGTTTTTGGTCAAAAATTAGTGTCGTG